CAAGCAATTAATTATTACTCTCCCCTTAATTTGTTTAGTGGTGGACTTGGCAGTGTTAGTTTAATGGTTGGACTGTATGATCTGAAAGGTCTTTTCCAACCTAAACGATTCGATGATTCTATGAAGGCAGCCCGGCACGCCCCGCCGAGCCGGAGCTGCTGCCGTGCAGTCACTTGTCCTTTTCTGTTCTTCACAGCCTGAACGTGAGCAGGTATCCCCCCGCCAACTACGACCAGGTGCACTTACACCCCCACCTGTTCCCAGAGCAGCCTCGCGTTTCCCCCAGCAACTACAGCCCCGCGGGAGGAGTTGGGTTTCCTCCAGCTCAGCAAGCTCTGAAAGTCCCGCAGCTCGACCAGTATCCCAGTTTCCCTCAGAACGCACATCAGCAACAGCAGCACTACACTGCATCGGCACTACAGCAAGCACTGTTGTCCCCAACGCCTCCCGACTACAGCCGACACCAGCAGGTACCGCACATCCTCCAGGGACTGCTTTCTCCCCGGCACTCGCTCACGGGGCACACGGACATGCGGCTGCCCCAGGCAGAATTTGCACAGCTCATCAAACGGCGGCAGCAGCAGCAGCAGCAGCAAGAATTTCAAGAGTTGTTCAGGCATATGAGTCAAGGGGATGCTGGGAATATGGGCACCAGCGTGGGACAGAACCTCTCGGAGCGCCAGTCGTTGTCTTTGCCTTATCAGAGCGCTGACGCGTACCACCCGCAGAACAGCCCCCAGCATCTCTTAAAAATCAGGGCGCAAGAATGTATCCAGCAGGTACCTGCGTCAGTGCCGCCGCACGGATACGTACACCAGCCAGCCCTGTTCCATTCGGAGAGCATGGAGGAGGACTGCGCGTGCGAGGGTGCCAGGGACAGCTTTCCAGACAGTAAGAGTTCAAACACATTGACCAAAGGTTGCCACGAGACCCCTCTGCTCGTAAATGCAGGAGGGCACGGGGACCCAGAATCTTTGCTAGGAACTGCTAATCACGCGCAGGAGTTGGGGACGCATCAATACAGACATCAGCCCGCGGCTGCTGGATTCAGTAGGAATAAGGTGCCCAGCAGAGGTAAGGCTTCCCACCGCTCGCGTAGCTGAAACGCTCCGCCGTGCTGGCCGCGTGCCGCTTGCCTTCCTGCCGGAGGACGCCGCCTCTACCCAGCACGGCAAGGGCTTCGTGACATATTTTGCATAGCGTGGAATTACCTAGATTCTTCTTGGCTTTTGTGGCCTCGGGTCAATTGCAGGCATAGTCTCTCTAATAAACAGCATTAAATAAGAAGGGAACCCAACCGGCTGATTCTCTTTGGAAGCTGACCTACTTCTGCAGGCAGGTAAAGAGCAGGTCCCAGCATTCTGCCATCTTTTCAGGGGTGCTGCCTGCTGTTGACTTATTCTTGGTGGTGAAGTTCCCCAGCCGGTGTAAACAGCAGGCTAGAAACAGTTAAGTTACTAGCGTACCCCCAAGTTCCTTCTCTCAAGAACAGACCCTCGAGTCCTGGCATTGCTACGGCTTCCACAAGCATGCAGAGTGAGAGCGGTGGTAAACATCTTGCGGCCGAGGCCGCCTCGCAGCAGCTCCTCTGGCGCTTTGGGAAGCAGCAGCGAGGCTCTAGCCCTGCTTGAACTGGAAGGGGTTGATTCTGAAGCAAGCGAGTTTAAACTTGCCGTTAGCGTCTGAAGACCTTTTCTGCTAGTTGGAAGCAGTTGCGCCTCTGCTCCTTGGTGGCTGCGTTGGCAGCGGTGCGCTGTAAGAGAAATTCCTGCCTGAACTGTAATTACAGGCCTGCTTTGTACGAAAAACACCGTCCCAGCCCCTTGCTAAGAGGGCTTTGAAGAGAGGCTTTCCAGCCTGAGCCGGGTGGATCAGTATTCACTGCAGGACGGAGTTGCGCTGGTCTGAAGCCATCAGCTTGCCCTCGGCAGAGGACCCTGTTGCGGAGGAGCGGCGTCCAGGGCACAGGAGGCAGGGCTTTGTCTGGGGACACAGCACGGGTTTGTTGGGAAAGTACTGGGTTGGAACAGACTGGCTCAGCGGGCAGAGCGGGCGCGCCAAGCCCTGGCCCCCCAGAGCGCGGGCAGGGGGTAGGGACAGGGCACGGCTTTTCTGAGGTCGTCTTACGTTTTGGATTACCGATGTGTTTGCCCTTGCACCTCAATTTCCCTGCGGTGCTTGAAGCGTGAAAGGGGGGGGAATCGCCACAGGTTAAGCGGAGGGTGGAAGCTCTGGAGGTGTGTTCTGTACCGAATCGTGAGCTTGCGTCTGAGCGCCGTAGACTGTTAGACGAACAACGAGGTTTACTGAAGTTGGAAGCTGCATTTCTGCCCCTGTACTGATGGTGCTAGAACCGGTTACACAAGGGAAAAGGACTTTAGACTCCAAGACTTCGTAAATGAGTAAAAGCAAGTAAATGTTTACAAATAGCGTTGTGTAAGCCCTTCTGACAGGGCTGTTTGGAGGGCTCACGTAGTAAACTATGTCCTGAGATGCAACCGCTCGCGCTGCCTTCCTCCTGGCTTCAGTAACCCACTTGGAATCAGGCCTGTGCCGCTTCGGTTCCAGGCAGATTTGCCATCTAAGCTGCCTAGGTACCCTCACCTACAATTAAATCCTGCAAAACCTCGGCGTACGTGCCGCTAGCACGCTGGCGCGTAGCGCAGCTCCGGCGTTCCCAAGCACGCCATGCACCGAGGGGCGAGCGGGGAGCCTTGCCCTGGCTGAGCGTGGCTCCTCTCTTTGAGCGCTGGTGCTGGCGGCTGGGCTCTCTCAGCTGCATCCCTGGGTTTTCCCACTGTTTTCCCTGTGCTGCATTAAGAGGCCGCAGCTTCTCTCGAGGCGGGGGGTATCTTCTCTTCTGCCCCAGCTCACCAAGCGTGCTCTCCCTAGAGCGGGACGTAACTTTGCAGCGGCTCGGGAGCGTTTGTGCCTTCCGAGGGAGCGTGTTGACCCCAATCAAAAAGCCCTGGCTTGTCTGCCGAGCATCTGCCGGAGATGGCAGCCGGAGACCGTGAGAGCGTCGACCAAGTCTGTGTTTAGGTTGTGACTACACCACCCTTGAACAGCTCTGCTCCAGTTTTGCTCCAACCTAGCCGTCACAG